CCTTTTAAAATCCAAAACTTACTTCTTACCTGAATTAAAGTTTCATTAACACCATTATGTAATACTTTTTCATGACAATCATAAACAATTAATTTTGCAAAATAATCATTAGAAAGAACAATTGGACATTTTTCATACACATCTAAAGATGAATTAATTAATCTAGTTTTCACTCTTAGAATACCTTTATCATCTAGCATGAGATTAACATTAGCTAATTTACAATTTTTATCTACACTTTTATTTTGTTTAAGATTTTGGATTTCTGAATAAAAACTCTGTGCTTGGGACATTTTAATCCAGTATTCCCAAGATTTTTCAGTTTCCAGTACAGAAATCGGACCTGTGCACTTTTGCTTTGTCTTCAGAATATTAATAAATCTGAAAACGTAGGATGTCACACGCACTAATTTTCGAATTTTACTGAACTTTGAAATGCACAAAATAGGTTGAACTTCACAATTTTTAACAACAGGTGGTGTCATAACACATCACAAGAAGAAAGTAATGCGATTTCCGACGAATTTTTATCAGGCCAGTTTTCTTCTGATTCGGATAACCAAGAAGGACCATAGGCCCACACACTGTCACACACTAAATCTTTGATTTTTACACCACGGGTTATCTTGTCAGCCGGATTATCACTACATGGACAGTGATACCACATTCTTGGAGATGTACTTTCTTTTATTTCACTGACACGATTTTTCACAAAAGTTTTCGAACGATATGCTGATCCTCTAATCCAGTAGAGCACAATTGAGCTGTCAGTCCATAGACGAGCTTTTGCATCAGGAAATTGCTCCTGCACAACTTTCAACAAACGCACTCCAATGACTGCAGCCATGAGCTCCAACCGAGGCAAAGTCATTTTCTTTAAAGGAGCTACCTTTCCTTTGGCTATAACAAACGCTGTTCGAATTTCACTAGAAACGGTGAATCTCAAATAGATAACAGTTCCATATGCAGTTTGCGAAGAATCACAAAATACATGTATTTCTAAACTCTGTGGAGTCTCTCTCGATCGAAAATACCAACGTGGTATATTGACTTCACATAATCCTTGTAGTTGGTTGTACCAGCAGTTCCAATTCTTCTGGCACCGGTTGATCCCAATCAATGCCATCTATCCAGAGTTTTTGAAACATAATTTTTGCTTGAATGGAAAATGGCGACAGGTAACCCAAGGGGTCGAACAGTCTCATGAAATCTGAAGAATAGTTCTTTTGGTCAGTTTCTTTTCTGAAGGAGTATCCACAACCTCATCTGGTGAGAATGTAAAACAATCATCTGTTGAAGAGTATTTCAGTCCAAGCGCCTTTGATGTAGCTTCAGGCATATTTAATTTTAAAATTTTACTTTCTGGGGAAAATTCTTTCTTTAATTCTTCCGAATTAGAGTTCCATTTGGTTAAATTCATAGAAGCTTCATTCATAATTGCTTTAGCTTCATGATAGACTTGACGAGCCTCGTCTTCTGAGTCTACTCCAGTGATGAAATCATCGACATATAAGGAATTGTCTAGTAGTTGAACTGTATTAGGATAAATATCTTGAAATTTCTTCAGATGATGCTTAATACAGGCAGCAAGCAAAAATGGACTTGGCATGGCTCCAAAAATTAGTCTACAAAATCGGTACACTGCAATTTTAGGCATAGTAAATTTCCATAACTTCCTGCAGTTACATTCAATGATGACAGGCTTCTTATTTGTATTTCACATTCATCATATAGTCTTCTTAGAGCTTTTAAGTTAGAAACATTTCGAATAGGTTCAATAGCAAGAAGTTTCGTCATATGAGAGCTT